GATGGATGGTGGATGGTGGGTGGGTGGGTGGATGGTTGGACGTCATTCATTCATAGGTGGGTGGGTGGGTGGGTGGGTGGCTGACTGGGGCCACAGGACAGGTGGAAGCCCTCCATTCTCTCTGCTCTCTGTGCCCACAGGATGGAGGACCCCATCTTTCCCTCCTCCCTGAACACCCCGTAGGATCACCTGCTGAGGGGGGTGAGGGAAAGGGCGCAGACTTGAAGACCTGTGAGTTGTCCCGTGAGTTTGGGGACCAGGAGGAACCTGGAGGCCCCGGGGTGCTGATGGGTCTCCCCGGGACCCAGCGGCCATCGTCTGTGCCAGCGGGCTCTGTGTGGAGGCCCTGGGGCAGGGACGGTGCTTGGGTTTCTCCGAGGTTGGAAATTTGCCCAGAGAGTTTCGGGGAGACTCCGGAGGCCACTGTCCTCGGTGGCATCTGAGCTACCTGGGCCAATGGCCATGGAGGGACATCACAGGCGTCCCTGGTCCCTTGAAGGCCAGCGAGTGGTCAGCTGAAGCCGATGAACCGCATCCCAGTGGAGGGCACGCGGGCAGAGCGCCAGAGGCCGGTGCCCGAATTGGTGGCTTGGGAAGCGATGACACTCCCCAGGGTCACCAGGAGTTTACTCTGTGAGGGCCCCTTGGAGGCCAGGGATGGGTAGGGCACCCCTGTGTGATCTCCGTCCCCTGTAATTGGTGTTTGCCTGCTTCTGGGCCAGCACCCGGGCTCTGTAATTGCTGGAAGAATTCGAATTTATTTTCCAAACTGTGTTATTAAAAATTAATGATGTCCCCCTGTGACCAGCCGTGTCCCTGTTAGCTTTGGCTATATTAATTCATTCCTTTATGGGGCTATTTGTTTGCAGGTCTAGGGATCAAACCAAAGGCCTTGCACATGCTAGGCAAATACTCTGTCCTGGTGTGGCTATGAAGTGTCCCCAAAGCTCCATAGTCACCATGAGCCGAGCACAGGGGTGCCCACCTGTCATCCCAGCAGCGCCGGAGGCTGAGGCAGGAGGATCGCAGGTTGGAGGCCAGCCTCAGCCACTTGGCCCTAAGCAAATTAGTGAGACCCTGTCTGTTGTGGTTAGGATGTGAGGTGTCCCCAAAGCTCCACTGGGAGGTGACACAGGAAGGTCCAGAGGAGGAGTGAGGGGTATGAGGCCTGAACCCTGGCAGGGAATGGCTCCCTGGGGTCCCCTGGAGGCAGGTGGGGTGTAGGGACCAGGTGGCCCTGGGGCCGTGGCTTGGGGTCTCTATTTGTCCCTGGAGAGTGGAGTCCCTGCTCCCTGGTCCCCATGGGAGCTGCTCCCTCCCCACACTCTTCCTCCATGATGTCCTGCCTCCCCTCGGCCAGGAGTGGAGCCGCCGTCTGTGGACTGGGACCTGGGACACCCTGGGCCCCACGTCCACCGTCCCCCTCTGCAGTGCTGCTGGAGGGTCCCTGAGTCACAGCAGCAGAAAAGCCGACTATGTCCCTAAGACTTCACTCCACCCCAGTCCCCTCTCTTAGGTTTTTTACCCCAGAGAAACGGACCCTCGTCCACACAAAGGGTCGCTCAGGGTTCACAGGGGTCATTCGTCACGGCCAAGAAATGACCCGACTCAGATGGCCACGGGAGGAAGAAGGATCCAAACTGGGACGCATTTACATAAATGTGACTTCTCCAGAAAAAGTGGCCGACAGAGCCACGTCCTGGACTCGGGGAGAGAGGCCAGATCCCACAGAGCTGGGGCCGTGGGTGTCCTTGTGCAAGATGTTTGTGACCAGCCGCTCGGTGGGGATAAAGGTCAACTGCGGTGGACAGGACAGTGGCGACAGCTCCTGTGTACTGGAAAGTGTCACCTGGCTAGCCGTTGTCAAAAGTCCCTAGACTGTGAGACAGTGTGGATCCGAGGCCTCTGTGTCGAAGGCTGGGTCACCAGCTCGGTGCTGCTGGACGTGGTGGGACCCTCAAGAGGTGTGGCCCCACAGGAGGACTTCAGGTCCCTGGGGTGTGCCCTTGAGGGGAGCTGGGGGACCCCAGCCCCTGCCTTTCACTCTCCAGCCGTGAAGCAAGTGGATGTGTCCC